CTGGCGCATGCAGGAGGCATTAAATAACAGAATCTGGCAACATTTGAAGAAGTGTTAGGAATTTTACTTGTAGATGGATGGAGCTAGAATGGTGGAACTAGAAGTTTCAAATCTTATAGGTGAGCATTCATCTAAAACTAATTTCTTGATTAGTCAAAGAACATAAATACATAGCGCATGGAAACAGACAACAGTATGGTGATGGCCAGAGAGAGGAGGGGGTGCGGTCTGAGCTGGGTGGAGGTGGGTAAAGGGGGGAATGAGTACATCTGTAATAGTGTCAACAATAAATAAAATAAAACTAGTTTCTTGGCTCTCAACTTGATGCTCTTTCAACTACACTCCCATATCTGTCTCAGGAAGTATTTTTTATTGATTTGTGCATCACTTTGATTTTTAGGAAGAAATACATATGGTGTTTGAATAATTGTGGTGTGATTGTATTAATTTGAATCGTATTATTTATGCACTATGACTAAATTCTTCTTAAGGTCTTTAGCCTGCCATGCCTTAACCTGTCATAGGATGTGATATAAATGCCAGAAATCCTCTTTTAAATAAAAATGTAGATTTACAGGGAGTTCCTAGAATGAATGTAATTTACCCAGACCAATTTAATATGCAGAATATACTGCCCAGTGGCCTTTACCCTTGTGCTTTCTGTGGACATAGGTCCAGGTTCATAAGAGCCTACTTGGTGATGCTTTTCAATCTAACACTACTGGGTGGTACCTGATTAAGGATCCCCCAGAACTCACTTGAGCAGATCCAGTAAGCGGACATCTCTATTCAAGGTTTCGATGGCCTTCATTTCTTCTGTAGTGAGAGAAAAGTCAAAGATCTGAAATAACAGAAATGAAAGACAGACATTTAAAAATATAAGTATGGGTCAAGCTTGGGATTGTGGAGAGGGATCAGCAATTGGAAACTTTCTAAGATTTATGAACATCTCTGAAAATGTCTAAGAGGAGTTGGTCTAGTGCTGGGGTTCCACCTAATGGAAGTGGAGCAGGAATTCTTTTCTGCTTCTGTGTCTTAAGATAATTCTGCTAGGGACATCTTACAAGAAATTTTAAATGAT